CTTTTATTCCGACAGCTTTTGCGGAAACCAGCAAGTTCGAGTGCTGATGGGTACAAATCGTTATTTTTGATGAGGCTTTCCCCTCACATCCTTCAATCTTTACTCCTTATCAACCTGTTGATTGATAGAGCCCGCTATTTTCTTTGCATCGAGCTGCCGGTGCGTTCGTCCGTCGCAGAGTTTAAATGATACTTCCCTGCCAAGTCACACGTCTTGTATGGTTGAGATCTGGTACGTGCCTAATTGTATGGACTGCGTCTCGGACACTAATTACTAGCAGCGGCACCATGTACATCTCCCGTGCGACCCCATCGTTTACGACTCCCGAGCCAGGTATATTCCGTACATTCCTATCGGCTCTCCTCCTGCAGCACGCGCGGACCCGGGCGAACGCCTCTGATATCTCTGTATGTCGTGGCTACTTACGATTTTGTTATGTGCCAAAGCTCGACGCGGCTTCCAGGCATTCGCCATGCATTGTGTATGGGACGTAATAATTAACCTTTGCCCTTCCTTCAGGACGCCGGCGGTGCTTTATTTTTGCAAGAACCTCGGGGCTGATCCGCATCTGCCACGTCAACAGCCCTTTCGTTCGTTCTTCCTACCACCATCTCGTTCGCGCGCACCGAGTCGTCTCCCAACTTCTGCAACTTCTGGGCTCTTCAAGCGGCAGTTCCTAGTCTTTTCCTACGAGTTCCAGCTGTGGGACCACTTTTCTTGACGAAACTGGTCTGCGCCGCTGGAACTAACGGATCTGCTGTTCCTATCAACTTGGGAAACATCGCCGCTCTCTGGTCTTTCGGGCTCGTCGTCTCCATACAGTCTCTTGGGCCTTTTTCCTTCGCCCCCCTCTCCGCTATATCTTGGCTCCATCTTCTTGTGCTGTTTTCCCAGTGATTAATTGCGCCGTGCCTCCCTTTGGGTTTATTTTTTTTTGGACCGATGCGTCTCGAATCAGCGGCCTCGGAGTATCTAATGCAATGCTCTATTTGTTTGTCTACCACTCAGTTGTTTTACTTCTGCTGGTGCCTCGATCCTTGCTATTCAGACGTCGGCCTTATACACGGAGCGTGCTCAACATTTATTCAAGATATTGAGTGCGTCTTCTTGTTGCTTTGTCGTACATGGTTGCACAGAAGGTGCTGTCTTTTCACGAACGCAGTTCGAGGCTTGGTGGGGCTAATTTTGGTTGTCAAATACTTCAAGTTAGGCCGAGGCCGCGGGTGAGCGACATAGCTGGAGTGCGCCGGGAATGGGGTGAATATTCTCGAGCATATCGGCGCGTCGTCTCGGCACCTTGAATCGTATCTCATACCTCATCGCGGAAGGCGCCATTTCTATTCTATCAACACGGCTCAAGAGAGGTTGGCGGGACGAATATTAATGTAATGCGAAGGTTGATTGCAATTGTACCTTCATGCACACAATCTTGTATTATACGCTCCCAGTTCCACGATGCGGATACGGTGCGCATGAGTGCATGTGAGGTTTCCATCATCCTTTCTCAGGTGAGGAATCAGCGCTCGCGCTGCGCCTGCACCTTCTGGATCTGGGCCATCATGTCGACGGGGCGCATCGCGTCGGTACTCCCACGCCGGGTGCTGCGACTCTCATTGGCTGAGGACGTTCCATCGCCGCCGATGACAGACGACCTACCTCCCGCCCCCGCGCGGCGTGAGATATCGCTTATCTGTGAAAGTGTGGCATGCCAATGCACGACGTCGTATCGGCAAAACTTTTGCCCAATAACCGTTGAGTCTCTGGTTGGTGGTAGAGGGGAGCAGTTCCACGAAAGCATACGGTTAGATTGATTGAGAACAAGTTACGGTGGATAGGGATGAGGGGTGAATGAGAAATTCAAAGTGGCGGGGGCAGGGCAAGATGGCGAATGGGAGCGGTGATGGAAGTAGAAGGGATGCCTCTTCGGTGAGAAGAGGAGCATGGGTGGATGATGGGATAAAATATGGGGAAGGGGAGCGACCGCGATGCACGGAAGTTCCACGGATGAAAGGCGGAGAAGGGCGATATGGGAAGAGCGAAAGAGAAAGGAGGGAAGAGAGGGGAGAAAAGAATTTAGGAAGACTTACGATGACGCCTTCCTCGCGCGCCCACGCTATCGTCCCTCACACTTCACCCCCAGTGAGAAACCCGTCTGGGCAGCTATGCTCGAACCTGCGCAGATATGGTCCAACTGGGGCAAACCGGTGCTCAGCAGATCAATATGCGATCAACTTCCCAAATTAGTTTCAACCGTCAGCAAATTCCTCGTAACGGACCTCGTTTTCCTCATTTCTGAATAACATTCAACGTAGACCTCCTTTTCGATTTTTTTCAGTGAAGCCAGAACGCAGGCTGAAAACGGGACTTGCCGTCTTGTTTGTTTATATTGACAGAGCCACGTGAGGCTATCGATCTTGTCCTCTCCCACCACCATCGCGTCCACTGTCGCGTCCATCGCCCTCCATCGCAGACACTTCGAGCCCTCCCAGCATACAGAAAAGCCTCCCCCGACCCTCTCTATATCACCAACCCGCGTTGTGGGACATTTCGTTTAGCGGACGAAGCTCTAACGGCCAAATGTGAACTTCACCGCCGGCGTGTAAGTCGGCGTCGATTCGTGTCGGCGTGCTCAGAACCTCTTTTAGGCGTTTATCCGAGCTTCTATCTCCTGAATTTCTCCCCAGAACTGGCCACGAAGCGGGCACAAGCCTCCGATTCCCCGGTGCGTTATTCGATTCCCCGGTGCGTTATTATCTCTGATGTGGATCCGGTTACAGATCAGTGACAGTTGTCTACACTGGCCTCTTGGGTGCTTGCACTGGGCCGGAAACGCAGCCAGTGCGTATTCGACTATCACGCTCCTTCAATCATTTCTTCCCAATCTCATCCTCGTCCCAATCTTATCCTCGCGTCCGAATTTTATTCTTCCCATCCCCATATCCACCGCTTTCTTCTTCCTCTATCTCCCCTGCATCGCCTTCGCGCCATCTCTCCCAACCTCTGATGTTCTGTGTTTCTATGTGTTTCGCATGTCGTTTACCGGGAATGCGACCGCAAACCGAGCAAAAGGGAGCGCGAAGCAGAGGGAGCCAAAGGATGTGACAAGGAAGCACCCGGGTGCGTCGCCCCGTCTCTCCATCTTCAATTTGTATCTCCACTTCCTTCAATCCTCCCCTTTATCCTCCCTCCCCATTCTACACCGCAAACGCACATGTGTGAGTACTGACTGATACTCTTCACCCCAGATTGGAGCTGGTCCGCGATCGACATCTATGGGACTACACGATGGTCACCCACTGAACGAGTCTCACAGCATCTCACATTTTTATTTTCTGGTGCTTGCGGTGCGGACTTGATAAACTCCTTGAATGTGCGCTTATTCCTTTACGCTCAGGCGCGCGCTGACGATGCGAGCTGTTCTTTACAGGCTAATGGTGTGTTCTCGATTGTCGCCTCATCCAACAACACCTCCGTGCGCCGTCGCTTAGCACGCTGCTCCGCTCCATCGACCTTCGCAGCTCTCGTCATCAACCGCCACCACGTCTGACCTCCCTAACATCCGTCTCCCTCTCTTCCCAGGCCGTACTGGGTTCTCAGTGCGAAGGTGTAGCTGTGGGTGGGGTACCACTGCGACGCGAAGGTGTTGGTGCTTGACGGACGCGACGTTTGTAGTTGATTCCATGTGTATTATGTAGAAATGCAATATATATGCATTGTTATTCAAATGAAATACATGGGACCTAAAGTAGCATATCTGAGCAGTTCCAAGCGTACCTGCCCACAGCAAAGCATATCGGACCAGATCGAGTCTCGAAAAAAGTCCAGAAAAGATGCTCGGAGGTGCTTGGATATGCTGAAATATGGGTTTTTCGAAAGAAGCACATTTGAGCAGATTTGACCATAGCGGCCCAGAAGGGTTTCTCACTGGGCTTCACCACTCTCACTTCCAAAATAGAGTCGTACGCGGACAGTAGAAAATCGGTGATATTGGCCCTAATAACGAAGAGGACGAGCGGGTGAAGACGTCCATGTTTCTCAGATAGTCCTTGATCGGGACGGTCGACCTGAGCTCGATGCAGATGACGCTGCAACCGTGGATCGGCCGAGGATCGGCCGAGCCGAGGATCGGCCGAGGAGCGCAGAAGAAGACAGGGCAAGGAGACTAGCGAGTCGGACGAGGCGTCTCTCTCAGACCAGGTGAGAGTTGTCGGAGTGCGAATGCTGCGGAGGACGTGCCAGTGGCGCCAAGCGAGGACGAAGCTGTATGCAGCCCCGCTACAAGACATAATGACCAGAGCCAAGTGGACAGCGTCGCTACGAAGCACGGCGGAAAGGCTGTAGCGGAGCCGGAGGTGAGAACAGGAGGCAACGTGGCAGCAGAGGAATTAATAGCAAGTTCGCACGACGTCATGGCAGGTTTATAAACCGAAACCGAACCAACCACGCCAAACACCCTTCGAATTCCCGCTTGTCTTCCGCGTTACAATAAACTTATGGAGTTTTCAAATTTGCTAGTGCACCCCTGGGGCCGAAAACTGAGCTTAGGCGCCGTATGAACATCGATCTCATTTTCAACCAAAGAATTCAACCATGATGGCATCAGATGGGACTGTCGGCAATTACCGACGGCCCAAACCGCTTCTCGCTGGAAGTTGCCAAACGTTTCTGTCTCGTCTCCATCTGCGATTCCGCTATGATTCCTATGCCTTGAGAGCGCTTGCCATTTTCAAGATGACTCGGATGAGGCGTACGACCCAAATCTGCACTGATGATTGCATTCGTCGACGGGGACCCTAAGTTCTACTCCTGGCATCCGAGATACTTCCGGTCCTATCTGAGGTAGCTTTGGTGTGCACTACAGGGGGCGCATGACACAAACACTTCCGGCCAACCTCAGACGGAGAGACATCATCATCCTGGTGCGCTGAGTTCGTTCAACTTTCTCTTACTTACTTGTCAACTTACTTGTCAACTTGGAGACCTCGGTCGTGGAATACAGCTCGGACGTGGTGCGCGGTGCCCGCCTGTTTCTCATTCCAATGCCGAAATATTACGAGGATATGTGGGAGACCCGGGTTCGAATCCCGGCGTTCGAATGACATGATCCTCGCTTCAGTTTTGACCTCGATTCGAACAGTAGCCCGGCGTTACTCCTTTCAAGCCCGTGGCACTCGTCCAAGTGCGTTACTTATCTCTGGTGCAAACATATATGATCCGATCTCAGTCGTTAGCCGCGACCTGGGGTAGAATTTCAACCGAAATCCCGAGTCGCACGAGTATTCACAATTTTCATTCCGTTGACGATTCACTATAGACGTCTCTGTATATTCGAATAACTTACTTGATATGCAGGAGTGCCATGGTAAGTTCTTGACAGGGCGTAGGCCATGAGCCCGTGGAATGTTCTCTTCCGGATTCGAGGTGCAAACACCCGGGTCTGTGCGTTTGGTTGCGAAGTTTTGCCCTTTGTGAAATCTCGTGAATTCAGAAGCGAGAATCTTGCATTCAACGTTACAGTAAGTACATACCCTACTCCCTCGAATAAGCGACAACCGGATTAATTAAGAATGCAGTGAAACCCAGAACTTGCAATGTTCAACCAATCATTCCATACGCAGAATACCGTTCCGCGCTGCACGGCGCATATCCGCTCTCTCAAGAAGTTCCAATACTTTGGATACGGAGAGCATCCTGTGCGGCCTCGGAGGAAAAAGACTGGTGTAGCTGAGGGTGCGACCATCACCATTGAGTTCTGTGTTACTTGCTAGGGTGGATAAGTGCTTCTGTCCAATGCGCCAGCCAAAGTCCGCTCTTCGTTGGACCGCACCGGGTTTTTTGCCATGCTGGTGCGAAATCCGCGTATGATGTTAGCCTTGGCTTGGATACATGTCGGAAAAGAAGAGTCAGTCTATTATAGCGGAAGGAGAGATAAGAACGCACCTGTGGGGACTTTTCGCGGTGCACCGGCTGACCGCCTCGTTGTAAACTGAATCAGAACAAGAGGAACCCGCGATCCCGCCTGGGTTCATCGTTCCTCCGTCAACGGGACGGCGCAGCTACCATGATGCGGATACATGAATCGGTGACCGCAAGACAGACCCTGATTCGAATGAGGTCTTCCACGTATGCTGCGCCGAGTCTTGCGCACATAATCCGTTATTCTGGCGATGCATACACGTCATTGAATGGACTCGGCCTGCGAGATATTGTGCACTTATCCCACACGTCCTGCGATACACAAGACCAGAATTATCTGCGCGCGAATTTGGCGTAGATTGGCAAAGAAAATGTTGCAAAGGCGCCCGTTTGACAGGACTCCGAAGCGGGCGCCTTGAGTTGAATAGTGTCCTTGAACGGCAGTTGTCATTGGGATGTAAGCGGCACGCGCCTCCAGGCCTTCACGATAGTCGAATGCGCAGCCAAGTCGGGTCCGTAAGCTGCCAAGTCGAAGCATAATAACACGAAGCGGCTTGAGGAGGGTCAGGTGACAAAGACAGAGCTAGGACAAGTCGGGCAAGACATCCAATAAAAAGCAGTCTCGAGCTGGAAATGGGACGCGCTAGAGCCTTGGATGCTGGAGGACGGTAAGTACTACATAGTACGTAGGTGCAGTCGGCAGGGAGGCAAGTAGTATGCGTGGCCAAAATCTTGTGGAGAGCCTCCGGAGGCCCCTGAGAGCACCGAAAGGCTGAGAAAGCACCTCAGAACGGTTGAATTGAGTGGACCAGCGTGAGGGTTCGGGAAGAGAAGGGATGTGGCGGTGTACGCATCACACGGGCCGGTTGATCCGCATCACCTTAGCAACTTCAACCACCTCGCTTGCCTTCTGTCGCACTTCCAGCCGTATCGAATGCCCGCTGAGCGCTGAGCGCTCACTATCGAATCAGCTCTGGCACTAGCTCTTCTGTATGTCCTTGGAGTTCCATGTCTCGGCAAAACGCCACGAGCGCGTTGCGCGCGCCTTGGAACTTGGAAGCTCGCGTCTCGCGTTCTAGAGCGACGGCTACCGGTGTTCAGCAACTTCAACCCGCTGGTGACGCCTCGCCATGAATAAATACCCTTGTTCAACTCAAGGGCGGGACATACCGTAGGCCAAATGGCCTTTTTCATTTTTATGCCCACTAACATTCATCCAATGACCGGACGAGCAGATATTCCTGATACTGGACTTCCTCCGACGCAAGAATAGGTGCGCTGCAGTGCTGTCGAGGTACCCGCCAAGCATTACCTTTGCCAGACTACTTGGAAGTCCACGACTCCACACTACCATCCAGCGAGCAAATATCGTTCTGTGGTGGCAGGCCCGCATAAACTTTCGTTAGTTCTAGACCTTTCAGCGCTCCCTCGCTCGACTCGGGGGCGGAATATGCGACTTCAATGCGAAAATTCTTCTTTTCACCCAGGTTTAGAGTTGGGCCATCCACCTCGTGAACAATCTCATCCTACTTATGTTCCACGGGCGAAACAAATCCACAATCGTCTTCTTGACACGGTAGCCCTCCGACGCGTATTACCTCTGTCGTTTGAATTTATTTCCTAACAGGACCGAGGGCAGGATCGGTCGGACGCAACGTAGCGTCCTCGGAACGGCCGGGCTGGGGTTCGACTCCCCGTGGCACGAAGACTGCGTGTTTTTTTTTGCGGTTCTGCTGCAACTGGCAGCCGGTTCAGTCGTCCATCCTCAATGGTTCCCAGGACCTATAAAACCTGCATCATTGCTCTCGCCACGAGATACGTCTTCATCAACATCTTAAATCAACCTTCACCGCACTTTGCTTCGCAACAGATGTTTCTCAACATAGAGTATACCACTCCGCAGTGCAGGGTGCGTGTTCATAACCCGTTTGCATTCCCTGTTGATATTCGCATGCGGGGACGCCTCGTTCAATTCGGGCACGGAACATTATCATAATAACAAGCTATGTTTTTAACCGGGATAAGTACCTGAAAGAAACCCGACCCCGACAGTCACCCTCGCTACGACTTGGACCGGGCTCCCTCAGTGTCTGTTCAAAGATTCTGACTTATGCCCGACAGGTCGATCGATACTCAACAACAACAGCATAATGAACCTGATATACGGCGCACATTGCAACGGTGATTTGTGTTGGAGCAGTACGTATACATCCGCAAGCACCCAGTTCGACTCGGAGGCGGGACGTAGGAAGCGTCGCGTATGCATTTTTGTTGTTGTTGCATGCAGCCTTGAAGTCCAGCTCTGCTGCTCAGTCTATCAGGTATGATGAGGCAAAGGGGTGGGGATCTCGGATTGTCTTTCCAGTCCTTTCTTGCGCTCTTCAGGCTTGAATGACCTCAATGAACCCCAGGTAGCTCAAGAAGACCCTATTAATCTGACTACCCCAAATCAGCGTCGCCCAAGGGCACATTTAACTCGTCCATTGCGCGCCTTAACCATTGATTCAGCGAGCATAACCCCGTCCTGAAATGTGCGGTGCACATCTGTTACCGATTGAAGATCTTTGGTATCAGCCGAATGATAAGACATGCTGGGTAAGAAAGCCCATTCCCTAAAGACTTGTGCAAGACTTCGCCAATTCGTACCATGGAAGGCGGCTCTTCCTTTATGAGCATCGCCATCTCTTCCCCTCCGTCGTCTGCGACTTTTGTTCCCTATCTTTCAATCCTTATCGTCTTTATCCCGTTCCAGTCTCTTATTACTGACAATCTTTGTTTCTTTCCCAGAGCCTCCCATGTTACCAACGCCTACCCCACCCTTCCCGCATTGATCACCACCGCGCACGCGCTGCATGCGCGCTTGGTCTCCTGGTTCTTCGACGCACCGGCGCCGTTTGGCGTGCACCAGATGGCCCTGGCTGGGAAGGCGCCGGGGAAGGATGTCGTTTGGGCCGAGCGCGGCGGTGGGGGCATTGAAGTGGGTGTTTTTTTTTTCATCCAATTCTACGCTCTTCTAGATCTTGCTGCCCGATTTACTGTGGTCCATGTCCTTCTCACTTCATTGTGTATCTCGTACCCCTTCCGTTGCTATCATCTCTTCCTTGATTGCACACGCGCAACTCGTCCGACCCCTTACCACTCTCATTCTTTCTCGTTCCCTCCTTTCGTTAACTCAATACTGACGCTCTTTTCCAGGACGCTTGTCAACGCCTTCCCCGCCTGGGGACTCGGTGTCTCCGCCACCACCGACAGCGAGAGGGAGCGGCAGCGGATACGGGAGGCGGAGCGCGGGGCGCCCAGTGCGCCGGAGCTGTTGACGCTGCACGAGGCGCAGCAGAGCTCGCCCACGTCGCACGACACCTTCAACGATGCCCCTGTAGCCCACCGAGCGCATACTCGCGCATGCGCTCCGAGCGGCACTTTTCCGTGTCCACGCCTCCGCCGTCATTCTCCAATTCCAGCAACGACCATGGCAACAGCGATCTAACCCTCGCGCGTACGCATAGTCGCCTCGGGACAAACGGGCCGCTCGCTGCACGGCTGAGCGGGTGGTTTGCGAATCTCGCGGGCAGCCCGAGCAACTTATGGATCGCGGCGACGATAAGCGGCTCCCTCCATACTCGAACCACCTGGAACGAGGAGGTGGCTGGAGGCGGGAAATGTATCAACCTTGACTGCGTTGTGAATTTGTATACATTCTTTCTTTTTCATAACCTTCTTCGAGCTGTCACTCGCTGTTGACATTGTGTATTAGTAGAGTTCCCTTGTTGCATGCCGATTTACTGTGAATTTACTACGCCCTACATACGATGATATTTGTTCCAGAGGCTGTTGCCAAATCAACCCAAATCAACCACGCAATTTTCACCAAAGACGTAATCAAAACCCCTCGTCACTAACGTCCACGCGTGGACGGTTTTGGTTTGAGACTAGACACTCTCATCACTTTACACCTTGTTGCGAGTTTGCCAAACCACTTACTTTGTATACTCCCCAATGACCGTCTATCCCTGCGTCATCCCATCCCTTGGGGCCATCCACCCACCTTTGGCCCAATTTGCGCTACAATTCCCTGAGATCGTCAGAGCTGAGGCTCAAGGGGCCAACCTCAGACCTTCCGCCGTGGATGAAGCCCGCCGCGTAATTGACGTGGTGGAAGCGGCGCATCGTACGTGTTGTG